TGCAGCAGATGGTTACTCGGAGAAGACTTGAATCAGGATGTGCAACGAAGAACGAGTTTATTGTGCCGCATGACCACGCAGCTAACGGTGCAGTCGAACAGGCCATACAATCTGTCAGGCAACAAGCTCAGTTGCTTTTGCATCAGTACGAGGACAGTGCCAGAGTCAAGGTACCAACCATGCACCCATTGCATAGCTGGTCGTGGCGTCATGCATCGTGGTTGCTCAATCGTTTCAATTGCACTGCAGGTCAGTCAGCGTATGAACGTGCTTTCAATTGTGCATAAACAGGTGAGATTGTGCAATTCGGAGAATCAGTTTTTGGAAGAGTTCGCCAGCAGATGCGCGGGCAACCCAGATTTGTGAAAGGCATATGGCTTGGGAAACTTTCCTCAAATGACTCGCATTGCATGGTTACCGCTGGGGGTTCATTGGTTGCAACTAGAACTATCAAGCGCACGCCTCAGATTTGGGACAAATCCTTGCATGATGTTCTTTGGCAGCATACATGGTGTTTTCCTGGACTCACCAGTGGAGCTTTGATTTTCAATCGGCCTGGCAATCGGCCAGCGCAGGAAGTTGAGGTGCGCATGCCAGTTCATGAGGATGGTGTTCCTCTTGCGGTGCTGTTGAGCGACAATCTGCAGCCTTTGAAGGAACAGAGAGAACAAGATGAAGCTGCCAGCGATCCGCCATCAAGCCCTCGTGAGATAAGTGAGACACTGCATGATTTTCAAGGGGGTACTGGGGTGGCGGGGCAGCAAGGCAATTTGCAGCAGTCTGACGTGCAGATGTCGCAAGGTTCAAGTGGTTCAGGAGGCCAAGCCAGAGCAGGTGATCCAATCCTGGAAGAGGAGAGACCCAACAAGGCAGCCAAAGTTGAGGCGCCAAAGAGAGCAAGATTGCAAGCGCCGCCTGTCCATGCAGGCAATGTTGGGCGCGTTGACTATGATCAGTTTTTGGTTGCAGTAGTTGGAGGAGAGCAATTGGCGCATGCAGATGAGCCAGCTGCCACTTATTTCGAGGCAGCAGATGTGGAATTTCTCACTGATCATGATGACAGCTGGGAGTTTGAGCACTTTGATGAGCAGGTGCATCAGCAAGCGCCAACAGATGAAGAAGCAGCAAGTTTGTATTATCCTGGAGGCTCTCAGGAGCCGCAGATGGAAGACCAGGAGCTAGCGACTTTGGATGAGCTAGCGGACAGAGTGGAAGTGTCGAGGCTGATAGACATGTCAGCATTGAAGCCCCTGCCAGAGGGGACTCATTCGTTGGAAGGACATCGACACTTGCAAGCTCGGTTTGTCAGAACTTGGAGACCGAAAATTCTGCAGGGAGAGTCAAAGCAGTTGAGGCGTAGCAGATTGGTCGCCAAGGAGTTTGCATGGCTGGACCCTGGAAGAGAGCATCTTTATGCTCCAGCTACATCGTCAAGTACCAGCAGACTTATTCCGGCTTGGTTCATGCACCACAGATATCCGCTTGTGAAAAAGGAAGATGAGTGGGATCTGATGGCAGTTGACATTTCAGATGCATATTTGACGTGCAAGCAGGACAAGCCGACTGTGGTTACCTTGGATGTTGCAGGAAGAAAGCAGAGTTATTCTTTGAACAGATGCATTCCAGGTCAGCGAGATGGAGCAGCGGTGTGGTTCCGAGAGTTCACTGAATATTTGGCAGAGACCTTGTCGACAGAAGCATGTGTGGAAAATCCGTCGATGTTTCGTATCGACACGCCGCATGGTTCAGTTGTTTTCCTTATGCATGTGGATGATATGTTGTTTGCTGGAAGACCTTTAGCGTTGGATGATGTGCTTAGCGCCTTGAATGACAAGTACACCCTTCATGTGGATAGAATCCATGAGGAAGGAGATGAATTGACCTTCTTGAAGAGGGTCCACAGACTCCTTGCAGGTGGCAGGCTCGGGATTCAGGCGCATCCAAAGCACATTGAGCGTTTGGAACAGATGCTTTGTATTTCACATGTGAGACCAAGGAAAACTCCGGTTCCAGTAGGTGCATTGCCCACAGATGTGGTCACAGACAGCTTGAGTGAAGAAGAAGCACATGTGTTTCGATCGGCCGTTGGAGTGATGCTATATCTTAGCCATGACATATGTGAGGCACAGTATGGCATACGCCTACTTGCGCAGCACATGTCTAGCCCCACCAAAGGAGCTCAGAAGCTTTTGATTCACATGGCCAGCTACTTGAAAGGAATCAAGTACAGGATGATGGTTCTGGAGACTCCGGTTGTGGGCCAGGGCTTTATAGCCAGAGCGCCAAAAGAAGGACAACATCTTGTGGAAGGTTTTGCAGACGCAGACTGGTCTGGATGTAAGCAGACGAGGAAGTCGGTGAGTGGCACAGTTGTGCTCTGGAACAATTTGACAGTGACATCTTCGTCACGTACGCAGAAAGCCATCGCGCTTTCCACAGCTGAGAGCGAATTCAATGCTGCGATATCAACAGCTTGCGACCTGCTTTACTTGAGGAATTGCATTAATTTTCTTGTTGGAGAAGCTGAGGTGTGCACACGCCTCTTGGGAGATTCTTCAGCGTGTCGTGGAGTTATTGCAAGGCAGGGTGCAGGCAGAATCAAGCATTTGTCGGGAAAATTGCTGTGGATTCAGAACAAGAATCAGACTGGAGAGATTGTTTGCTGTGCAGTTGGAACAGTGTGGAATGTTGCGGATATGATGACCAAGGCCCTTTCGAGGCCTCGGATTAATTTGCTGTTACATTTTCTTGGAGCTTGTGATGAAGATGGTTTTGAGATCGGCCAGCATGAGGCTGATGAGCAGGAGGAGAAATTGCATTTGAAATCTGTGATCAGACGTGTGCAGAGAGATGTTCAGGACCTTGGCATCTCAGCAGGAACGAAGAGCATGACGTTGGCCAAGAGCCTATTGAGGATTGGCGTTGCCAGCAATCTCTTGATTCGTGGAGCTGGAGCGGATGCCAATGACAATTCAGATGACGCCTTGAGCACGAGCCCAATCAGCAGAGCATATGAAGATGGTGTTCTTATTTGTGCGTTTGTCGGTGCAATTTACATTTGCACATGGATTTGCAGAGCTGTACAATTCATTTTCTTGCGATTGCGTGGTTTTACCATTGCAGCCAGTGCAGACGTTGTTGAAAGTGCAGAGAGAAAGAAGCATGATGAAGGTAAGCCTGAGGTGCGTGAAAAGAAGGCCAAGCAGGACACAGTTGACGCTTCGGTCAACACCAATGACACTTCGGAGATGCGCTGGAGAGAAGCAGCATCGTCAAGTTCGGAATTGCCTGCTCGGCGAGAGATTCCGGATCCGCCAATTTCGGTTGCACCTCGGGTGACAAGCAGGAGAACCTCGATGAGGGAAGAAACGGTCACCCTGACCATCAGTGGAAGATGCTATCACAGAAGCTCGTGCAAGTGGCTGGAACATAGCACAGATTTGCGTCAGTGTGGCATTTCGTATGCTATCCAGCATGGATTGAAGCGATGTAGCACTTGCTATGGTGGAAATCTGTGATTCGGAGATGTGGAGATTTCAGCAGATGAGATTTCATAATGACGCATTTTGCGTTTGCACGTGATCTTGATGATCACCCGACATGTGTATCATGAGCGTGAGTGCCATCAGTGCATTCGACTCGTGGACATTCTTGTGTCAAACAAGACTGGTAATATGCCAGTCATATTTGAGGCGGGGTGCTAAGAATGTAGCCCCCATGAACACGTTGTGCACTGATTGCATTTTGTTCCGCGTGAATCGTTGGACATGACTGTTGTACAGTTGAGCTTGGACATGTTTCACATGTACCGTGGATTCATGCAGGCGTCTTTGCATCAGGAAAAGTTAGCATTTTTGAACCCACCCTCCCTTTCACGGCCCAGGTGGCATCCAGCTTCCGCAAGGCCTGATTGAGGGATGCATGCACCTGCACGAATGGAAGCTTGTCAGCTTCCAACATTTCGTTGGCTTACTGCATCTCGCTGCTCCCGCAGGACCAGTGTGAGCATATGCAGCAAGGCCCATGTTGCGCACGCAATCGCACATCGCCGAATGCCATCAGCATTCTTTCGGACCAGCCTGGTCCCCTTCCGGAGGACGCAATCCTCCCATGCATACCTATGCACGCATTGCATACATGTGCACAATACCTCCTATTTGTCTCACGCCCCATGGGTACAACACCCTGTGTGATGGTCGAACACGCAATGTTGACCACAGGGGGCTTTCGCATTGCGCAGGTGCCTGATGCCATGAGAGTTGATGTGTCCGGCTGCAGGTGTTGGCACAAACGCACTGAGTTGAGGTTCGTCACTCCAGCAGTCAGCCGCAGCCTTCATGAGATACAGTGCACCACATGTTTTGATAGACTGTTTGCCATGTTATCATTATCATGCACACATTCCGCACCCAATTTGCGAGACACTTTAGCTGTCCTGTGCCATGAAGCGATCTGCAGGAGATGAAGAAAAACCACCGCCTAAGAAGCCGCGAGCACTGCCACCCATTGGAGAAGTTGCTGATGGAGAGGATCATGTTTTCATTTCTTTACAGGGATATGCTGACAAGGTTGGCAAGTTGTTTGATGGCGGACATCGTGTTGTTTTCATCCGCGGCGGCGTCGCCATCGGCAAGACCACATTGGCAGAACACTTGGCGGCGCGCTTCCCTGAAGAGTATGTAAATGTGCCCTTCACTGAACATGGTAATGCCGATGCTTGGAGGAAGCGTACAGTGGAAAGCGTGGAAAAAACAACAGGCAAAGTTGACGGAGATGGTTCAGCTTTCACGAATGCACTGAGGCAAGCCAAGGAGAAGAACTTGACCCTGATTTATGATGAGGCTCACACAATTTTCCGCTCACCAGACCTATGCTCAGACTTGTTCAAAACAAGCATACACTATCGACCACGGGTCTTACTGTTCTCAGCTTCAGGGGAAGCTTCAACTACAGCACCGCAATTTGCAGTGGCTACACCATCTGAAATCACCCAGACGTTCATGTGGACACCACCGCTGCCCCGCACTCCAGAGCTGAAGGGGCAGCTGGAGGAAAGTGGCGTCAGGCTGGACGAGAAGAGCATCGAGTTTTTCGCCCTGTTTTGTGGTGGCCATCGCGGCATTTTCATCGCCGCGATGCACTGGGTGAAGAGCAAGCAGGCTGGTGAGAGCTGGGGCTTCAGCCAGACTGTGGGATTTGTGCGCAAGAGCTATGACAATGGAGATTGGAGCTCTTCTGACGGGATTTTGAGCTACATGAAAAAAAGTCGCGCAATCCATGTCAACAATCGCTATCAGTCCCTAGATGCAATCCCAGACAGCTTTATTGCCATGCTTTGTAGTGGTCCTTGCAAGGTCAACGATGCAGGCATCAAGAAAGATTTGTGCATTCATGGCTTTATACTGCCGCATCATGAACACAAGAACCACAAAGAGGTGAACTGGAGCAACCATAGCACCAAGTACAAAGTGTCCAATCCGCTCATCGCGTTTTACTATCGACAGGTTCTAGAGCAGGAGCGAGCCTTGCGTGTTGACTTTCATGAAGGTTACAAGCAGCCACACAGCTGTGCTGATTTATTGATGCGAGCCATACCATACCTCCCCTTCTCCAAGGTCGTGAGCTTCGAAGCGGAAACATCCGAATTGGCAAAGGACAGCCTTCCTCATGAGACACAATACAACCAAGCCTTCCACAATGTATTGCAAACCATGCGCTACCAGTCCTTTGCCCCGCAATCGTCTAAGGAGGGAGAAGGGAAGCCAGACCTTAGGGTCCACATTGGCGAGGAGAGCTTTGCTATTGAGGGCATGAAACAAAACATCGAAGAGCACCTTCAGCGCTTCAACAGTATGGCCAACTACAAGAACGCCAATCACCAGGGTCTCTACATCATCGGCAACGACAGCGACAAGATGCTCGAGACCTTGAGCCACACTGAAGCCGGTAAGGTGCAACTGATAGGCTTAGTTCCCAACATCGCCCACACCGCGTACACCGTCCACGTCAAGAGCAAGGGCATCGAAGGCATCAACACCTGCAACGTGGACTGCGATCTTGTGGCAAGAAGGTTGGTGCTCAAGGACGATGGCAAACCTGAGCTCCACAGCGTGCAGTCGCTCAAGAGCATTAACCTGTCTCCCAAAGCTGAGACCAGCCCCTTGCACTTGCTTTGCTCCGCCTTTTTTTGTCGGTCTTCCGGTGTTTTGCCCGTTTTTTGTGGGGATATGCCAGGTTTTTCATTCAGTTCATGGGTTGTCAGTTGCAAGAGCCAAGGTCAGCCTGCGAAGACAGAGATGGTCTGGGTGCGAGAGTTGAAGGAGGAGAACGGCGAGTACAAGCTGGTGGGCAATGCCCTGCCAATCAAGCCTGTGCCGGAGAACATCGGCTTCCTGAAGGAGGTCATCAAGGAGAAGGCGCAGTTGCAACCGCCTGCTCACACTCTCACCGTCTACCACCTCACCGAAGGCACGTGGCAGGAGGAGAAGAAGATGAGCGCTGCATTGCGCCCTTCCACGGAAGAGACTCCTTACGGCTACCTCGTACCATAGCAATATGGTTTCTTGCACTTTGTACTTCAAGTTTCAAGTTTCACTCAGAACAGCGCGTTTCGATACACATTCGCAGGGGTGGTTGGCAGACGATGCTTTTGCTTGAGCATGAGCATGGCAAGAGCAGAACAATTGATGTTGTAAGACCAGTCCAACCCCACTCGGATTGAAGCAGTCAAGTTTCACCCAGCACAGCCAGCACAGAGTCCTGTGAACTCTTTTTCTGCAAGATGGATGAAGTGTACTCCGAATTTTGCACGTCAACAATACAGAGTTTGCAGACACAGATACGCTATGAAGAAGAGGTGGCAAAAAGAGAAATCAAGATGAACATAGATGAATGTTTTGCGTCAATACAGTGTGAATGTCAAGAGTTTTACTTGGAAACATATTGTTGAGTCCATCATGTGTTTTTGGAATTAGAAAATACAGTTCCGGAGCAAAATATTGGATTTGCGTTTTGAAACAATTGAGCGGTTTGGAGTAGCGCCTCATCGAGCTGCAAACACCATCCAGTTTATGTCCGAACAAACCAGCTTATGTCCGAACCAGTCAGCGGATGTCCGAACCAGTCAGCTTATGTCCGAACCAATCAGCTTATGTCCGAGCCAGTCAGCTTACGTCCGAATCATGCTGTGCGTTGCGCAACGCATGATTTTGCTTGAATTTGGCATGGGAAGATTTTGCATGATTTTTGCTTTAAGTCGGCATGTGGTTCACCCCCAAAGTTTTTACCTGTCAGGCTTGCCGAGTGTGTGAGGCCGGACCATCCTGGCGAGGAAGCACGGGTCCGGGTCTGGCGCTGGGGGCGGTTTTTTTTTGACTGTACGGTAGGACGTGCGGAGCGGGCACGGTGCCGGGCGGGCATGTAGGATCACTGGCTCGCCCAACCCGTTCCGGCTTGATACTGGCTCGCCCAACCCCGCGTTTGACACGCGCCCAACTGTGCCCGTTTTTGCTTGTTTTTGCACGATTTTGGGGTTGCGCCCTTTTGCACCCTGATTGCACCCTGATTGCACCCTAATTGCACCCTGATTGCACCGTTCCGCTGGTTGGGTTTTGCTCGTTTTTGCATGTTTTTTGCTTGTTTTGGCTTGAGTCCACATTTTTTTGCACGTTTTTGCTTGTTTTGAGTGATTTTGAACGCTTTGAGGCCTCCAAACAGGGTACTAAATTAGCCGGCTTTGAGGGCCACCGATGGTCCAGGGGTGTCTCCCGAGCGGGGACGGTGCCGAGGCCGGGCAATCTTCGGCGGGTTGGGACGGCGCCGGCGTCGAACAATGTGAAGATTTTGCCAGTTTTTTTGGCACTGTCATCTGCCGTCAAAAACGAAGTTGAACGACAGTAAGTTTTTTTTGAGATTTTGACACCCCACGGGTTGGGCTTGATACTGGTCCGCCCAACCCGCTGGGGGCTTGATACTGGTCCGCCAACCCGCGCTCGATACTGGCTCGCCCAACCCACGTTTGATACTGGCTCGCCCAACTTTGCCCGTCTTTTCGTGTTTTTGCACGATTTTTGGATTGCACCCTTTTGCGCCCTGATTGCACCCTAATTGCACCCTGATTGCACCCTTCCGCTGGTTGGCTTTTTGCTCGTTTTTGACTGTTTTGGCTTGTTTTGACTTGAGTGCACATTTTTTTGCACGATTTTGCTTGTTTTTGAGTGATTTTGAACGCTTTTGAGGCCTCCGAAGAGGGTACCTGGGGTGGATTTTCTTTTTGCTGTTCCGCCCAACTGGTGTGGGGGGATACTGGTCGGCCCAACCGTTTTGCAGGTAGCATGGATGCCCGGTCTGCCCAACGGGTCTGGGGGGTTTGGCTTAGTACTGGTTCGCCCAACGGGTCTGGGAGCGGTTCGATTTGCTTGCATGCTTGTAGGAACCTATAGGAACTGGTAGGAATTGGTAGGAACCTTGTAGGAACCTTACGCATTTTCCTACGCATTCCTATGGGTTCCTACCATTTCCTATGGGTTCCTACCATTTCCTATAGGTTCCTATAAGCATGCAAAAAAAAACCGAACCGTGCCAGACCCGTTGGGCGAACCAGTACGAATTCAGACCGAAGAGATGCGGAGGACGCCGGCCTGGAGGCAGACTTGTTTTTGATGCACTGGGTTTGACAGACTTGACAAACTCGACAGGGCTCCCTGGGCCGGGCAATCTTCGGCGGGTTGGGCCGGCGCCGGCGTCAAAAAATGTGATACTGGTCCGCCCAACCCGCGTTTGATACTGGTCCGCCCAACCCGCGTTTGATACTGGCTCGCCCAACTTTGCCCGTTTTTGCCTGTTTTTGCACGAATTTTGGATTGCGCCCTTTTGCACCCTGATTGCACCCTAATTGCACCCTAATTGCACCCTGATTGCACCCTTCCGCTGGTTGGCTTTTTGCTCGTTTTTGACAGTTTTTGCTTGTTTTGGCTTGATTGTTTTTGCACGCTTTTGCTTGTTATTTGAGTGATTTTGAACGCTGTTGAGGCCTCCGAAGAGGGTACCTGGGGTGGATTTTCTTTTTGCTGTTCCGCCCAACTGGTGTGGGGGGATACTGGTCAGCCCAACCGTTTTGCAGGTAGCATGGATGGCCCCTGTTTGGAGGCTCGCCGGGGAGTGGTTCGGCACTGGTCTGCCCAACGGGTCTGAGGGGTTTGGTTTAGTACTGGTTTGCCCAACGGGTCTGGGAGCGGTTCGATTTGCTTGCATGCTTGTAGGAACCTTTAGGAACTGGTAGGAATTGGTAGGAACCTTGTAGGAACCTTATGCATTTTCCTACGCATTCCTGTGGGTTCCTACCATTTCCTATAGGTTCCTATAAGCATGCAAAAAAAACCGAAGCGTGCCAGACCCGTTGGGCGAACCAGTACGAATTCAGACCGAAGAGATGCGGAGGACTAAACCCTAAACCCTAAACCCTAAACCCTAAACCCTAAACCCTAAACCCTAAACCCTAAACCCTAAACCCTAAACCTCTATTCTCTACTCTAGTATATATATTTAAATGTTTGCCCTACAACGGGTGCGCCCGCAGGGGGCTTTCTTAAGACTTTCTTTTTAGTTCTGCGCGTGTCCCGCAAGCTTCTAAATCGGTTTCGTTGTTCAAATCCAAGTTCGGGGCCAAAATCGCAAATTTTGCACCGCGCTAAATTTGCGCGCTTTCTAGGTTGGGCCCTCTTGGCCGCGGCTGAACCGCGGGCGTGCCGGGGCCCCGCCGCGGGGCTGGTGGCCCGGTGGTCGCGCGTCCGTCTCTGAAGCGGGTGGTCCCGGGCTCGGTTCCTCCCTGGCGCGCGCTTTGCGCCGAGTCGGCGCGCGCAGCTTTCTGTTCAGTTCTTTGTGTTTCCCATAAATCTGTTTTGCTGCTTGAGTCCAAGTTCGGGCCAAATTCGCGCGCGTTAAACTTGCGCGCTTTCTGGGTCAGGGCCTCGTGCCCGCGCGTGGGCCGCGGGCGCGGCGGGGCCCCGCCGCAGCTTCTGCGCCCTAGCGGTCGCGCTTCCGCGGGTGGTCCCGGGCTCGCTTCCTCCCGCGCGCGCTTGTTTTTCGTGGCCCCGTCGTTGTTTCGGGCTGCCGCGACGTTCGTGCCGTGGTTTTCCACTTCCGGCAATCAAGAAAGCGCGGCAGCCTTTCGTCATCATTACGCTTGATCCGCTCTCTTGTGGCTTTGCGCGGCGCAGAACTTCCAAGCTGGTGGGGCGTGCTGCAACTCAGCTAGACGCGAACTCGAAATCATCACCAAGCCGTTGGGGCTGCTTCATGAAGCACTTCTCAGCGGACGTAGTTTCCTGGCCCCTTGCGCACAGAAACTCGCAGCTACTCTCTGCCCTTGCAACATATTGCTTGCCGCCTGCCGTTTATCTTGTTCGCTGCTCGCCGATTTTTGCAGTTCGTCGTCTACTTTGTCGGTCGCGCTGCGCGCGCGCCCTCTCGCCGCTTTGCTTCCGCTGCGTTTGATTTGTTCAGTTGCGCTGGTGTGGAAGCTGACCCTTGGTAGCGGGCCTGGGTGGGTGGGATTGAGATCGAAACTTTTGCTTGACGTTGCTATGAAGATTTCCATGTCTCAAATCCTGTGAACCCTAAACCCTAAACCCTAAACCCTAAACCTAACTTCTAATTACTTTAATATTAATTTAAAAGTTAAAGCCAAAACGGTCGCGCCGGTGCGCCTAACACTGGGGCTTCTTGAAGCTTGTTTTTATGTTCTGCATGTGTCTTGCGAGCTTCTAAATCTTCTTCGCTGCTCAAATCCAAGTTCGGGGCCAAAATTTGCCACGCGCTAAACTTCCGCGCTTTCTAGGTCGGGGCCTCCTGCCCGCGCGTGGGCCGTGGGCGCGCGGGGCCCCGCCGCAGTTTCGGTGGCCCGGTGGTCTTGCGCCCGTCTCTGAAGCAGGTGGCCCCGGGCTCGGTTCCTCCCTGGCGCGCGCTTGTTCTGCGTGGCCCCGCGGTGGTTTCGGGCTGCCGGGCGTCGTTTTTCGCGCCCCTGTCGTGGTTTTCCACCCCCGGGCGAAAACATGGTTCTGATGGACTCGCACGATTGAAGCCTTGCTGCGACGCGGCTGATTTTCTTCAGGCGCCAGGCCAGGAGAAGCAAGCTCGAAGCAGGCAAGCATAGGAGTTGCTTCTGAATCGCATCTCAGGGCTAATCCTGCGCCCAACGCAGGATTGACGGGGGCAATCCTGTGCCCAGCGCAGGATTGATGAGGGCAATCCTGTTGCCAGCGCAGGATTGATGAGGGCAATCCTGTGCCCAACGCAGGATTGATGGCAAAGCGAGTGAATGGTGAAAAAAAACACTCCGCAACGAGGACGGCATCACTGACGGACCTTCGGCGCTGGCCCGGTGATGGGTTTTTCGGGCAAAATACCGGCGGTGGCGCCTTGAGCCAATTTTGGCTCAACGTGCCACCGCCGGGTGGCGCGGCCGGGAGGCTTCTATGCCGGGCAGGTGGCGCGCTAGGTATCGAAGCATCCACGTCGGCGGGCTGGCGCGGCTCCGATGTCGGGCAGGAAT